CAGTCATACTGCACAGCAATGATAACAGTCGATCAAACACTTTGACGAGCATCAGTGCCGCCACGCCGCGTTCCGGAGAGTCGTTCTCAACACTAGCGCCGTCTATGACCCGATCGAACACACTGACCAGCAGTTTCGACGAAGCAGATGAAGATGCTCAATTCGACCGAGTCTATTCGAAACTCAGGAATGCATCCGACAGCTGCAGGCAATCCATGCCACAGATCACACGTATGATGCGAGAACAGTTTGACGGTCTGCGACGCGATCTTGACAACGAGGATCCCCGAATAAAGGCGCTAGCGAACCTCATTGATAAGAGCAATGATGTCCAGCAGATGACGAATCCTCTTGCCGCCCGCCTGTCACAGATGCAGCTCAAAGACAGCTACACTAGGAACCAACCCGAGTTCTGGCAGCAATGCATGGGTTTCATCAGGGTACGTTGATCCATGTCTTGTTTCGAATCGAAGTTTCGCGAACTGGATGTTGACTTACATTTGTTTCAGGCTTGGCAAGAACTTGCCGCGGCGTATACCCAGCAGGGCCGAGAACACAAGCTGCTCTCTGGTGAGATCAAACAGCTTATGCGGCCACTGCACAAGATGGTCAAGGAAGCCACTCTGGCTATCAACGACAGCCCATGGTCGCATCTCACTAGCAGCAATACGGGTTTGATGGGTCCACCGAGCTTGTCGTCGATTACTTCACGCGTCCAACCACCTAGGTTCATGAAACAACCCAATGGGACCATGTCTTCGAGCGGCGGACCTTCGTTCCCGGGCCCCATCAACACGTCTATTCCGGCGATGGCTTCGGTCTTCTCCGCGCAGCCATACTCTAATGCAAGCTTCGGGTCGCAAGGCTCGGGTGGGTACGGCACACCCGTTCCGGCGACACCCCTCAGTGCCGCCTTAGGAGCAGCTGCTCAAGCGACTGTTCCAAACACGCCTCGCGTCTCTCAACCTTCCAACACGCTCAACGTCTTCGAGCGGGCTGATCGCTTGCTCAGCCAGACCAGTCGACGTGTGTGATTCCATAATGCTTGGGCCTGAACTTACCCATTATAATGGACCGCAACGTACTTCTGACTTCGCCTACACAAGTCATGCTGACGCACAGCAACGTAAGTACGTATTCTCTCTTTTACTCTACTGCTTCAAATACTTGTACCTGGCAGAATGATCTTTTTGTTTTGTATTGCATACTATTAGCGACGGCGTTTGTCCGGATTTCACTCTTTTTTCCTTTAGCAACGGACGGGGCATATCCGGGCTTGCATATCGGACATGGTGTTTGAGAGAGGTCGGGATCAGTCTTTTTTTCTATTGCATACTGGGCGTTTTCTTGTCTTTTGGTCTTGATGGAGCTGGATGGAAGGTTGCTTGATCAAATGGTCGGCTGGAATGATGGATTGGTCGAAACCTCTGGTTAGGTCGGAATGATATGGCGCACATACGACACGGGTCTTAATGTCTACAATGAGGGCTGGCTGCCTGGTTCGTGGCAAGAGATGGGTTTCCAGTTCGCTGGCAGAAGTCGTAACGGAATATATGGCGCTAGCTGCCATGATGCTGAGAATGAGAAGCGATTGTTCATGCATACAAAGTGCCTAATGTCGAAGACACCACGAGAAGGTGTACTCGTGAAGTGAACAACACGCAGGAACCGGAACACAGATACTGATAAAATAGAAATAAGACTTATTGATACGTCAAAAGCGTTATAGTAGCCAATTTCGAGAACCTCAACGCCGTTCCTGCCTTTGTAGATGTAACCCAACCAACGCGACCAGGCGTACACACTCCAACCCATCCAAGTATACACACGAATACAACATCCTCAACTGTCCACCCTTCAAAGCCTAACATTCGCACCAATCTTCCCACCCTTGAACCAGATATCTTCCCTCCACTCCCCAATCCTCACACCCACATACGCAAAAGCACTAAGTTTCAACTGCCCACCCAGCGCTCTCTTGATAGCCTCGTACCCAAGACTACCAAATGACCAGTCAACGGGCAGGCGAGGTGATTCCGACAGGCCAGGCGGAACAGCAAAAGGCGAGTCGTAGACGATTTTGCCCGCAGTGTGGCCTTCGTAGTAGGCGGTTGCGTCCATGCTGGTGATGTACATGGTTGTGGAGCGGAAGGGGGAAGCGAGGGTGAAGACGGCGGTGCTGGTGATGAGGTGCATGGTGGTGCCGCGGATAAAGTGAGATTTGCCATCGTCGTCTGGGTCGGGGTTGGAGCCGTCGTCGGGTTTCTTGGGGGTGGACATGTGCGGCATGGGGCGTTCGATGGGGAATTGTGAGAGGAACCGGCCGATGAAGGGGACGGCTGGGACGGACTTTTCGTGAGCTTGTACGGTTATCGTGGTGTTGTAGCCTGGTAGCTGGGTTAGTGATTGGATGTGTGGTGATCGTTGTGAAGCACGTACCTGAGATGTACTGGGAGAGTAGTTCTGCTCCGATCTTCTTGCCCTTCTCACCCCCGTAGTTGTAAGGATCCCATAGGACAGAGGCAAGCTTGTTCGTGTTGTTACCAGGAGAAACCTCCATATCCTTAACCGTCGCACTGCCAATGTGAGAGCCATTGGCTAGGATGTTGATGTTAAAGTAAGGGACCGTAGCAGAGTATTTCGAAGGATTCGTAAAGTTGACGAGGGCCGTGATGGTAAGGGAAGTGGGCGAAGTTTCGACAATGGCTAGATTACCAACCTGTACGTTGATCTTGCTCGCCTCGTCTTTACCGTCACCGGGCTGAGCGTCTTTGCCGCCACGAATCGCTGAACGCCAAAAGTTAGCTAATTGCAGGAATTGCGGCCAAACTTGGATCACGAACTGGTTACGAACGTTTGACTGGTACGACACCTTGCGCCGGAATGCCTCGCACCGCGAGTTTGCCCATGGGCGTATCCACGCCAACGCTGACCGCAGCCTTGAGGTCCATCAGAATTGATTTGCCGCCGAAGAGCAGAGCTTGCACGACCTCACTGAAGAGGTCATCGTCGAGAATCTCAATGGGTGCGTTCTTGATAACGGATTGAACAAGGAGGGAGGGTCCGTCAGAGCCATGGCCTTCAATGCGGGTGGAGTTTGCCTTTTGCCACTTTTCAAGGTTCATCTTTCCGAGCTTCTTCTTGTGGTAGTAGATATCTGCATCAGCTTTGACTTGGGTGACATCAACGGGGAAATTCATCTCGTGGGGTAGTCCGATATCGACATTGACGATACCAGAGATCTTGGGACGGGCTTCAGGTGTGCCAGGCTCGGCGAAAGGGTTGGGCAAACTGAAGTGCATGTCGGCAAGAGAGAAGTTCTTGATGAGGCTTCCCATGGACTTTCCGGCAAAGGGAACCGGAACAGTAATGTCCTTGAGCAGCTCACGGGCCCAATCGGGTGTAGCTGGGTCAGGGAACTTGCAGCAGTTGATGTAGATGGTCGCGTCTTGGCCCTTCATGTAGTCGCCCAAGAAAGCGTCGAGCGGAGACTTGGCCGAGTTGGGGCAGACTTCAGTCATGCGATCTGAGAGCTTGTCGACGTTGCCAGTGACATCGACCTTGACGTCTGAGTTGGGCTTTATTTCGAGTTGCCCAGTCTGAGCGGTTCCAAGCATGATGTGCTTGTCGGATGCCGAGCAGCCCTCAATGCCCACGTCGACAGCTACTGGAGGCAGCGTGATCTGAACAGGGAAGTCGTTCTGCACGACGATAGAGGCGTCGGCACCGAGACCCTTTTGCCCATGCTTGGCCTCGCCGAGGTTGAGTTTCGTGATGTTGTAGTGAGGAAGAGTAGGAATGTCGCCGCTCTGGAAGACCATGGACTGCTCGATGAGCTGCTCGCCAATGTTGATCAATCCAGACTTGAGAGGGACGGAAGCCTTGCCCTTGAGCCTTATCTGCCCCAGTCGGCCATCGATCCAGTCGTTGGCGACGCTGCGGATACCGTCGGGCGAACCAGGCTGGACGGTCGCAATAAACGAGACATGAGTCGTGTGACCATTCCTGATGTTTACCTTCAGGCCAGGTATCTTGGCTGTGCCAATCAAGACGTTGCCGTACTCGGGCAGGTAGACGTCGGCATCGAAGGGCCCCGTCTCAGCCTCGTGCGCAATCCAGGTGCCAAAGCGGCCGAGGTTGCGCACGCTCTGCTTCTTCACTTTGTTCGCGTCCATTGTAAAGTCGCCCTCTATGTGCACCTTCGCGCCGTGGTCTGTCAAGCCGTCCATGGAAAGCTTGGTGGGCTTGAAGTCGGCGGCCTGCATCGAGTACTCCTCGATGCTCTCCTTGGCCAGGAAGCCGAGCATGATGAAGACGACGAGCAGACACAGCAGGATGAGAGCCAGTATGCTCGGCCATCGCTTCTTCCACAGCGGGACTTTGCCACCGCCGCTCTTATCTGAGGAGCCACTGAGCGAGCGCAGCAACGAGCGTGTTGCGGGCGTGGCTTCCGCGTCGTCTGGTCTGTCGTGGTCATCGCGGTCTTCCTGCGACAGGAGCGGCGTCTGTTCGGTGGTGCGACTCGACTGCTGCGAGCGTGCTGAGCGCGACGAGCGGGCGGACTTGTGCGAGGCCGGGCGCGAACTAGAGTTGCGGGTGTTGGCGGCGGAGCCCCACTGCTCCTCTTCGGGGTTGTCCATCTTCAGACGGAGGGGCGTCCAGGCGAGGGACATGACATGCGGAGAGATGGAGGGGTCGAGGTGAAAGGAAGAAAGGAAACAGGGCGGTTGACGGGTGGTGGAGGGTCTTGTTCATCGTCTCGTCATGAACTCAGCCACTGCCTGGGCCGGATAAGACGCCCAGGAGCGACGTGTGCCCGTGCCTGCCGCGGCCGCTAGCCCCGACCCCAGCGTCTCCACAAACATGCGTCACCTCTTAGTGCGCTTTCACAATAATTCACTGCTGACAGGCCAGCGTGTGTGACTCAATTGCCTGCTGTTGGGACGACATAAATATTTTGGGTTCACTCAGTCCAGCTTCAGATACGCCATTGAAGCAACATGCCCGCTTTCCGTCCCTCGCCTGCTGCTCTGCGGAGCTTGCGCCGCTGCTACTCTACCTCCTCACCAGCGACACCGCCGACATCGCCATTCGCACCTCGACATCTCCTCTCTATAGCCGACCTCACACCTGCTGAGCTGACCACGCTCGTCCAAAATGCACACCAACATAAGACGACCATCAAGCAGACAGGCGAGGTGCCGCATTCGATGCGCGGGGCATTGGCAGGCAGGACCGTCGCAATGACCTTCAGCAAACGCAGCACGCGCACGAGGGTATCGACAGAAGGCGCCATCGCGGCATTTGGAGGCTCTCCCATGTTCCTCGGTAAAGACGATATCCAATTGGGTGTATGATGGCTCCTTCCATATCCTGAGTGCCCGCTGACACAGCATGCAGGTCAACGAGTCTCTCTACGACACCTCGCTTGTCCTCTCCAGCATGACCGCCGCCATTGTAGCCCGCGTAGGCCCTCACTCCGACGTAGCCGACCTCGCAAAGCACTCGAGCGTGCCCGTCATCAACGCCCTCTCCGACCTCTACCACCCCCTCCAGATCATCGCCGACCTGCTCACCATGGCCGAGATCTACCCCTCCACATCCTCTACCTCTCTCGGTCTCGAAGGCCTGAAGATTGCATGGATAGGAGACGCCAACAACGTCCTCTTCGATCTAGCCATTGGCGCAACAAAACTCGGCATCGACATCGCCGTTGCAACCCCCGCTGGCTACGAGATCCCTCAAGCAATGCGCGAAGTCATCTCCCACGCTGCACAAACCTCTCCCCACCCGGGCAAACTGCTCGAGACAAACACACCCGAAGAAGCCATCAAGAACGCCGACATCCTCGTGACAGATACATGGGTGTCCATGGGCCAGGAAGAGGAAACCGCCAAACGCCTAAAAGCCTTCTCAGGCTTCCAGATCACATCTGAGCTGGCGAAACGGGGTGGTGCCAAGGACAACTGGAGCTTCATGCACTGCCTTCCCAGGCATCCCGAGGAGGTTGCCGATGAGGTCTTCTACGGGCCCAGGAGTGTCGTATTCAAGGAGGCAGAGAACAGGTTATGGGCTGCCATCTCCGCGCTCGAAGCGTTTGTAGTAAACAAGGGAAATATCCAGTGACTAGATCCATGGTTCGAATGAGAGAAAGTTATACGAACTTTGATCTTCACATCTACGATGAATATATACCAAACTACCCAGGCAACTATTCAGCTACATGTCCACCTCATTCCCTCTTCTTCTCTTTTTCCTGTCCAACTTCCTTCTCCGCTTCACCATTCACTTCATCTCCATCCTTCCTCTCCTTCAATCCCTCAACACCCTTTCCCCAAGCCCCAGCCTTCTTCCCCCACGTCATCATGCCCCAAGCATGCGTCCAGCTAAACTTCGGCGGCGCATCAGGATGCGTCCGGAACGGACTCGCACCATGTTTGAACATATCCTCCATTTCCCTCTGTCGATCCTTCTCCAGCTCCTCTCTAGACAGAATCTTCGTATTCGGCGGTAGCGAATCTGGGGCCGGCGCAGGAGTAGCAGCAGGAGCAGGACGAGATGCAACAGCAGAAAAAGGCTTCTCCCAATGTCTCGACTCCACCGGCAACGGTCTCCACCATCCAGTCCCGTCTCCACTCTCCATACCCGTCGCCGATGCAGACGAAGCAGCAGCAAACCTCTCCCACCACTTCTTCGAACACATCTCCCAAATCCTACTCTCGGCCCTCTTAACCGCAAACTTCTCATCCTCACCCGTCAAGCCCCCTATATTCGCAAAGTCGGGGCTGCCAGGCCCAAACTTGCGTTCGTCCGTGAACGACGTGCCCGCCTGGCGTGACCGGTTCGGCGGGTCGTCTTCGAGTGCGTCTTCAGCCAGCGTGTCGGAAGAGTAAGAAGAAATGTTTGGTCTAAAGGGCGAGTTGAGGTCTTGGTAGATTTCAGAATAGGTTTCTGGGTACACGGCGTCGGAGTCTAGGGTCTCTTGGCCTGGTTCGCTGGATGCAGAGGGGATTTTGGCGGGGAAGAAGATGCCGTCTGGGCCGGCGGCTGCGGTGATTATTAGTCTGCAGCGGGCTTCGTACATGGCGTCGAGGAGTGTGATGAAACGTCGTGCTTCGCTTTTCATTAGCAGACCCATGACTGGCACGTCGGTTACGATGAACGTGTGGTAGGTGGATGCCAGTGTGATGTAGTCTGCGGGGCCGAGGACCGCGCCGCAGAGTTCCGCGAAGGTGAAGAATGCTACGCCGTTGTATTGCGCGGGGATCTCTAAGGGCCGGTTGTACACGGTGAGTGTTGCGGGTTCCCAGGGGATGGGGTAGGAGTGGTTGGTTGCGGACTCGACAATGGTGTTGAAAGATTCTCCGAATTCGATCATGGTTTCAGCCGTGGTGGGCTGGATGAGGTAGTTCTTAGGTAGGTAGCTTGATGGGGTGGTGGAGTCTGTTGGTGCGTCGGAGACTTCTGCAGCACCTGTCGTCTCAGCTGCTGGAGTTGACATCGAGGTAGCGTTGGTGAGAACATCGGATGCAGGCATCTGCACACTATCCTTCCTCCCTTCTTCTTCATCCCTCTCAATTTTTCTATAATCCTTCTTTCCCTCCATCTCCCAAACCTCGCAACGCGCCCTGAGCACCTCCAAGAACGCAGCAAACTCTCCCATCTGGCCCGCTCCATCGTCTCTACGTGTATACGCGCTCTTACTCATACTCCATCCCAGGCGACTGAGTCGGTTTACTGGGCGCGAAAACTCCATCCCCGCGGCTTTGGCTAGCTCCTCTGGCATGCGGTTACTAGTCGCAATAAGGACGCCACCAAGCTGGAAGAAAGACGTCATGAGATTAGACAGAATCTTGCTAGCCGCACGATCTGGGAGTTGGAATTCGTCCAGGAAGAGGATGGGAGACTTCTCAATGAGGTCGCGTGCGACCAGGAGTAGGGAATACTCATCGTGAGTAGCTCCCGGGCCAGCGACTAGCGATCTCGACATACGGAGTTGCTCGAGACGCGAGATGGTGTCGAGCATGAAGGTGTTGAAGTGCCAGCGTCGCTTCTTGCGGTTCGGCAGACAGTCTTGGAACAGGTCTATGAGCATGGATTTTCCCGTTCCGACCTCGCCGTGGAGCATGAGGCCCTTTGGGCTTTGCAGTTGCATAGCTTCATCGTGGCTGGTTAGGACACGCGTCAATGCTACAGAGTCTCTTTTGTCTTTTTGCGCAAGAAGAGATGTCCACACGCCCCTTCTACCGAAGCGGTTGACGTGGGTATCTGTTGATGATGATGCATCTTGACCCGCATCGACGGCTCTGGTGAGTTGTTGGAGTCTCTTGGAGTACTCTACACTCGGTTCATAGTCAATCAAACGGTCGTAGAGCTTCTGTAAATGTAATGCTGTAATTCATGTTAGTACATCTTCACACTAGTTTCGTCTAAATGGTAGACGTCATACCCAAGCGATGCTGCGCAGGATCAGGTCGGATCTTCTGTGTAGCAATGAGACTGCGATAGAGCACCAAGGGGTTGGTGATGGTAACACCGGTGGAAGGCATTGGTAGTCATTGGTTGGAAGAGTCAAAGTCTATGTGGCATGATGTTTGAGTGTTCGACATGGCCGAGGTGATCTGCCATGACATTGGACTAGACTGCAATCGGCGCTAGCGCTTTTGGGAAGTCCCGATATTTTATCGACGTGGTACGCGGCATCGAACGAAGGGAGGTTGGCAATCAAAACGTGGAAATCGAATATTTGCTATAAACGCCGGCCTGATGCAACATGGTATCGTGCTTGGTATAAGGTTGAATCAAATGCTGGTAACGCCTGGAGACCATGCGTCGGCTATCTTCTTGACTTCTTGGATAAACTTGCGACTTGTGATTTGAGTCGAGCCGATCCTTTGCTCGGCATTTGCTGTGACTGGAGAGTGCTCATCTGGGTCGTAGAACCTACATAATGGCACCAAAGTCAGTATGCGTCTCAACCGAGCAGCGTCCTGGAGTCTTACGGGTTTCTTAACAGCTTGATGTAAGCTGTCTGCAACGCCCTAAACGCCTAATGAATGTTAGAAAATGACGCTTATCTCCATAGCTTCAAGCTTACGGGTTTCATATCTGCATCTCGCAGCCCAACGGCAGTCGAAGTCTTGCTGTCAAGCGCAGTAGCTGGCCTTCCTTCCATGTCGACCACAATGACAAACTTGACTCCGGTATTGGTGAGCCATCCATACATCGCTAACCTCTCATCGACGGCCTGGAGAAGACCAAAGTCTTGATCTGCTGTTTTGTGTGGTAGGCGGGCTTCGAAGATGTCTAGACATGACGAAAGAAGGAACTGGAACTCCAGTGGCGCCCTCTCTTCTGCTGGGAAAAGTGATATATGGAGGGGGTTGTTCTATCAAAAGGGTTAATTCTATCTAGGTTGGAGATGTATACCACGTGTACTAACATGCTTGCCAATTACGCCGATGCACGCAATGGACGGGACCTGGGACAGTCATCAGCGCATACCTCAAGTCCTTGGAACTTTCACTCTTACCCGGCCTGACATGTTGAAACGAGATCACAAGCTTGGATAGGTTTGGTGGATCTGGGAGTATGCGGAGTAGGCTGGCCGACGTAGACCGAAAGGGTGATGGAGGGAGGAGCGATCGCCGGCTAACCTATCAGACGCCACCAAAATCGACGACTAATCGATTTCCGCCAAGCACTTTGCTGCACCTATCTCATCGACACAACTTCGCGACTCCTCGACCGCCACCCCACATCTCGCCTCTCCACTCCTTCCCTCCCGACCTTCCCTTGTGTCTGTCGCAATCATGTTCTCGACAACACGGTCTGCGGCCTCAATGGCTCTGCGAGGTTTGTCCCCGCCACCCCGAAAGCTCGCCGCCGACCGGGACTGACAATGTGGACAGCCAAACCCGCGACGGCGCTCATGCCCTTCCGCGCCGGAAGCGCTGCTTTCCTCTCCTCGAGCTCTTCGGATAGGGCGACAACCATGAAGACGCCCGCGACGATCCCCGGCAACCCTGGAGCGCCACTACCGATGAAGTCCGCGCGAGTCGAGGTGCCATTGCCGAGTCAGGAGGGAAAGAAGGGTGCTATGCAATACGCATTGTATGTGATATCTTGAAATGGCCCCGGAGCATGAGACAGGGCGACAGGATGGGATGTACAAAGGCACAGGCTAACGTGCGGCAACAGGACCACACTCGACCAAGTAGCCAACTGGGCCCGCCAGAGCTCCCTATGGCCCATGACCTTCGGTCTCGCATGCTGCGCCGTCGAGATGATGCACTTGTCCACCCCACGATACGATCAGGATCGTCTCGGTATCATTTTCCGTGCCTCGCCCCGACAGTCCGACGTCATGATCGTAGCCGGAACCCTCACAAACAAGATGGCCCCAGCGCTGCGACAGGTCTACGACCAGATGCCTGACCCCCGATGGGTCATCTCCATGGGCAGCTGCGCCAACGGAGGAGGATACTACCACTACAGCTACTCGGTCACAAGAGGATGCGACAGGATCGTGCCAGTAGACATCTACGTACCCGGCTGCCCGCCTACCGCCGAGGCGCTCATGTACGGAATCTTCCAACTGCAGAAGAAGATGAGGCATACCAAGATCACCAGGATGTGGTACAGGAAGTAGAGTGTGTTTTGGGATGTGCGGTCTAGTCATTGGTCGTTTTATCTGCGAGTTTTGAGGGAGCAGATTCCTCTTGTACAAATCGATCTTCTATATGCATAGTCTATACCAAGTCAAGGTGTGATGAGCTTACGCTGTCTCACCAAGTCCAAACATTTTGATCGAGTTCTTCCATGCTCTAGATCATGATTAGCATCTTCCTGTTGTACATATCAGAAGGGATAGGATAAACTTACGCGTCGCAAACCTCCTCTACGGTGATCTCCTTGATCTTTGCAATCGCATGTGCCACATGTGGTATCGTAGCTGGCTCATTCCGCCCCTTGACCATCATGCCCTTGGCGAACTTCTCCTTCTTGACCGCCTTGGGTAGTGGAGGTGCGTCTTGCAGATACTTGGCTGATGCATGACTAGGTCGCATTTCGCACCACGGGCCGTCCGTCTCGATCTGCAGACGCTCAAGTGGTATTTGCTTGACGACCTCGATGTTCTCATCGGCTAGAAAACCAAGTCAGCCGAATAAGCAGTCACGACAGGCTCGAAAAGACTCACTCTTCATGCTACACCCGTTAACCCCGATATCAAATCCTAGATCAACAAGCCGTTTCATCTCCTCTGCCGTTCCAGTAAAACTATGCACCAGCCCCCGTTTCGGCAACTGCTCCAATTTCGCCGTGAGAATCTTTTCAAAGTCCTCGCTCGCAGCTCGCGAATGTAGAAACAGCGGTAGCTGTACATCAATCGCGATGTCCAACTGTGCCTCAAAGTACTTCAACTGCGGCTCCTTCGCCGTCAAGAACAGTCGATCATAATCAAGTCCAATCTCGCCAAACGCCACCGCATGACCCGCTTCTTTAGCCTCAAGTGCCAGACTCTTCAACGCAGATAGCAGTTCAGACGGGCCTCCAGGATGCGTATCGAAGTGTTTTGCGGAGCAGGGATGTACACCGACGGTTGCGTAGCATTGTCCTGGGTGCGCTTTGGCGATTTCAATGGCGTGTTTGGATTCCTCGAGGTCGGAACCTGTTACCATGAATTTCTTGCAGCCGGCGTCCACGGCGCGTTGGATTACGTCTTCAAAGTCATCTTCGTGCCGTTTGGTGCCGTGGTATTCTCCTCGGTAGATGGGGTCTGTGAAGTTGATGCCGATCTGGGGTGGGTTAGTGGTGGATGGGGTAAGGTGGTGGGATGCGGACCGACATCGATGTATTTGAGTTGAGGGGCTTCTGTTGCCATGTTGGGTATATTTAACTTTGGATTCCCGCTGAAAGTTCTTATGGCTAGGACGTGTATTAGTACGGAATATATAAGTTAAGATGTTCTCTTTCAAGACGGAAAACGTGATGACGCACTTGCAAAATTGCTAGACAGAGCTCCAACGTGGCTGAAAGGGCGCAGATTAAGAGTCGGATAGATTTTGGGGCTGAAATTGCAGAGCCTCAGAGTTCGAGAGGACCTCAGAAACATCGATGACACTGATGGTGGGAATCTATTCGTTGGTTTGATCGTTGTTGCCTCAAAGTGACTCTGACTAAGCTGCTTCGAGCCTAGTTTCAATGCTGGCATCTCTCGCACAGCCACCCTTCATCACAACCACTAACCTCTACGCCCTTTTTTGTCACTACAAACCCAGACTGCATCAAGCATTCATATCACTCGGTTGAATTCTGGAGTAACATAGACCTTAGAGCAACCAGGAGACTAGTCTGTTGCTGTTTTACTGCGTTCTGCGTTATCTTAGATACCTAGGTACTTTGCGCACTCACGCGCTTCTGTTACCGACGTAGACAACAACCGCGAACACAATTTGGAATCTCGATGGAGAATCTGTGGCATCTTCGCCGTGTGGCGGACAACGCCGCGAAGGCTTGCTGGATCTGCTACAAGCCATCTACCAGTGTTTTGATTACCCCTACCAACAAGGTGCGAAACGACGAATGGTAGGCTGTACTTCAACCATGCTAACTTATTTGAAGGACTTCTTTTACATATGTCCTGGACACTTGGTCGACCGTGGATTCTGTCAACCGGAAGCGGATGAAGCCAAACGGGTCGCAGATCAGAAGAAGCAAGAAGAGCTGGATCGCGAGATCGAAGCTGTGAAGAAAGAGTACGAGGAGAAGCAGAAGCTTAAGCGGGAAAAGCGGAAAGGGAAAGATAAGGAGAAAGACAAGGAGAAAGAAAAGGAAACCAAAGGCAAAGAAGCAGAGGAGGACAAGCAGGATGAGAAAGCCAAAGACGACAAAGCATGTGATGTGCACCTTCACTTCGTCACTGTGCTAACTCCCTATGCAGATCAAGGAGCTCTCCAAAACCAAGGATCAAGCCCAGGCGGAACTTGGCCCGCGTATATACCAACTCAACAAGTGGGGCCGCATTTACAGACTCCTTGCCCCAGCTACATACTGACCCTGCACAGGAACTTCTATCAAATGCGTCTAGACAAGCTGCGGAATGCTGAGATTGCCAAACGGAATCGCGAACGACTGAACAACCCTGCAAACTTTCCGTCCGTGCCTAGCGGAAATCCTTAGACGCAGAGCGCGTCCTAATATCGACAATGGTCAATGTCACAGACCAGTCGTTGCTCCCGTCGCCTTGGAGGAATTCATACCCGCATTTCGCCCGGCAGCAGGCAGGATCGGCTTATGCGAACAGCGACGGACCCCACGGCCGCCGGCCTTAGATCCTTCGAAGACGATGCAGTCAGCTTTTAGCGGCCGGTTCAAAGGCCATGCTTACCGAATGTCATACGTGTCACGCATATCATCTGTTTATAGTTACGGTCAAACCAGATCTTTCGCCCTTCGGTACATTCCGCCTAGGGACGTTAATCGCTACCAGTGTGACGGGGATGATCGGATACATTCATCCGTTCGACAGGTGCTACTTTCAGTCAACAACGCTCACACACTGCAGATTTACTCGCAGGATTCGGCCTGTCACACTTCGCTTGTGCAGACATCGTGCGGAAGTGGCTTGGGAGCTTGTAAGACGGCAGTAACTCCTATACCGATCTAAGCTGTCTTCATGCAAGTTTGTATATCTAGTCTTGGCTACTCCCAATTGAAGTGGGGTTCCAGTTCGCTGCATCCATCGTCAAAGTTTCGGGGCCAGATAATAACTCATGGCTCTCGGATTCGGTGCGCTCATGATGAAGAGGCAATGACCAGCTCACTCAGTTGGCCAATTTCAGCCGTACACGAACCCACATGCTGTGTCATGAACCTTCGTCTATGCCAGAGTTGCTTATCAGTATGTTCAACAAGTCGTGGTACCCCGAGATCTTGGTATAACAACCAAAGCTGTGTATCCAATCACTTCCGAGACCGGCACGCGTCGTGACAGGTACAAATCCTCGCTACGCAAGCCTAAACAAGGACAAGCTATACTGTAATCGAACGATCTGCAGTCAATCTGACAGTAATGGCACTGTGACCGATCTCTATGGGGCAGAGAGGGAGTGGCATGGGTACACAGCTCGTTGTTACCACGCAATGGCGCACCCCGCCTGTTCACACTTTCGCTTATACCATTTGTCACCACATCGCATCTACTGATTCATCCCATATCTGCGCGGGTGGTGACACGATAGGAGTCTTGGCGATGTGCTATCTCAGGAAGGATGCCCTTCTCAACGACACCTGCTGTGCCAAGCATCGCAACGGCTTGGGCACTTGGGTGTGTATGCAATGAGGAATGTTGCTCATTAGTACTCCGTTTCGAGCACGATACTATACAGCAGTCAAGGGCCATACGTTGTCTCTAACTTCTCCAACTCCCGGAAGCGCTGATGCTATCCACCGCTTGGCACTGCATGCGATCTACGCTCCGCCGCTTCGCAATGCAGTCTATCCAGCCCTACATTATCTCCTCAAACGCTCACCCGTTCATGTCTTAGCTTTTCACCACAGCTCCAGATATCCGCTAATACTACGGTACAGGCCGTCAAACTGCCGCCACCAATCGCGCCCTCCAGCCAGCCTCTTCTTTACAATACCGATGAGTGAGCACGAACGGGTAATCACGCGAACAAATCTCAAACCCTGCCTCAAGCAGCAGACTAAACGGTAACAGTAAGCCTCGCTTCCGATCTGCGCGCGTCAGCATCGTCCCGCGCATCTACTCAGCGACACATCACGTACTTGCATCACATGCATGCTAGCAGCTTAATTTTCCGTTCGATTTGTCTTTTCTTTGTTTATTGGAATCGCTTATATCTTCCCATATGGTGAAATCCATGACGGCGCAGAAGCCCTTTGCAGCATAGTCTGTTGGATGCGTAGGGCGTAATGTCGACACGCATCTTGTGACACCTGTTCATCTCTAGCCTTGCAATAGGGCAATCTCACGATCCTGCAGCCACAATGCTGCTAGCTCATCGGGTGTCCGCTGCTTTAGTCTGTTCAGGCGTCCCAGGGAAAAGCTTTTGCGAGAGTGGACCTAGGGACCGATCCTGCAACCTGGGTTAATGTCAGCGTAAGCACTTGACTGAGTGCAGTGCTTCGCGAACTCAGTTCCCGGTGATGTTAGAACATTTCCTTTTTGGTCTTGATTGATATTGAAGTATGTCGGATGCCGTGTTATGCGGTAGTAGATCTTGCGAGGTCCAGTATCAGAGATGAATGTCTGCACGCGGGACCGAGATATAGATTTTGGTGACGGGTGACAATGGACAATTACGTGTAAGATAATTAACTAAGGAATGTTGGTGTTGGTGTCGCACGTCATGCAATCACGAATTCGCAGTGGACGAAACTTGACAGTACGCCTTTCAACAGCAGTAGCAATAGCAACAACGACTCGAAGCAGGGCGTCTCGTTTGGCATACTACACAGTAAAGCTATAGCGCTGATTGGAGACCAGAAAAAGCACATCTCATCTGGCGGACGAAGACACTGAAACGGATTGGATTACTCATCTCCCCGTTGTCCTTCTTCACGCTATCCTCAAAATGTGCCATACACATTTCCACAAGCCCTATCCGAGAGCCCAGGAACTCAACTTGAATCTATGCTTAGATTAGAATAACCCGAGGTAGTGATCCGTCCTTAAGCGATATTCCGGCTCTGAGAAGCGGTGGTTGGCGCTAACTGTCGTTAAGGCTGAGATTCTGAGGTCGCTGCTTGTACTAGCCCAGGTGGTTGGTGTCTTGACTATAAGGCCCAGTTATAGCTGTCGACGCGACTATGAGCACTGTAGAGTGTCATCAATATGATTTAGTTGCTGATAAATTATTAAGGCTTTTGATACCTGAACAAATGCGGTAGAGAGGGGATACACGAAAAGCACAGCGATATGACACTTTCACATTCGTTCTCCCCTCTACTTCAGGATTTAAACGTGGTATGATGCCTCGGTAAAGCCAACTCTATCCCTTGATACAGCGTTGACACAAAGACGAGCCACTCGAAATTCCAAAACTCATACCTTGCATACAAGGTGTGTCCATCTCAAAAGTAGCCATGGCGAATATCAGACCTAGATGTAGGACACATCGAAACTTACACAAGTATCATGACTTAACAATCTGACGGAAACCTCAATCCAGAGGTGGCCATCCCCCAAGGTAATGCTACTTAAAGTCATACCTCACATGCACAATCCGTCCCCTTGGAACCTATATTGCAAGAGCAAGTATAAAGTAAGAAGCGACGTCGAACTCGCCAATCCGCACTTCCTACTAACAAGAGAAAACCCTTCGAAACACCAGATCCTCTACAACATTTGCTATACACCTCCACCCTCCACCCACACCACCCCAGCACTCCTTCCCTTACTCCCTCACTCCCCTACCACATTCCCCTACCACTCCCTCCCTCCAAACCACCCACCACTTAACCTCATCTCCCCCGAAACACCCTCACCCCACCCCTCGCATGACCCGTCCCGCTCCGTCCTGTCAGAGAACCGAACATCCGAAACAAGGCATGATCCGTGCTCCTTTTCGGAGAAATTACCAACGAAGCGTGGGATGATGGCGAGAGGGGAACCGAGCCATGGCCCATGGATGGCGACAGCGTAAGCACTAACGAGCCGCACACGTGTCAGGTCCGTCTGAACGCGTGTGTTTTGGTCCGTGTACATTGTAGAGGGGGAAATACCTAGGTACGCGTGTCTGGGTCGATGATCGGGTTTGTGTGTGGGCTGGGAGTGGTTTGGGTGGTAGAGTTGGTGTGAGAGTTTGGTAGGTGTTGAAAGATATTGTGCTGGTGCAGGTGATTTATGGGGGAGATCAAGGGGTTCTTGCTCTTGATGATGGCATGGGTTGAGGCAAGATAACTCGGTAAGAGCTTGGGCGGAGTTCATGAAGCTACCACTAATGTACCTTTGATATCTTGGCTTCCTATTCCAGCGTACAATTAAAGAGACAGCATCTTTCAGAACGCAAATGCAGTGTCATTTGCCCTTCCAAGTTGCTATGCACAAGCTCGTTGGACGAACATGCATACGCGGGCAGATGATAGCATATGTTCAGCTTGCTGTACACTTTCTTTACATTGGCGACGGAGTGCCATTATCTAGGAGGCATACTCGCTCTTCAATGTGGTATCACGCGAGCATCTCCTCGCTGACAGGACGCGCACGCCTCTGCCCACATATTCTGATACTTGGGTACGTGCTTCAGATCTTGGCGAGTATCCATCCGCCACATACAGCTGACATGAATTCATGTAAAATGCTGTCGACGAAGGGAGTCAGTGTCGGCGTAGCTGATATACTGTGTAAAGGGGGTAACGGGTGTTGGCTGATGGTGGTGGCGTGCCAAGGCCAAGTGCTGAACGCCGACTGACAGCTGAACTTGCTTTGCCTCTTGGCTGTGCGCCAGCAGGAAAACTCTTTCGAATTACTGATGATGTCAGATAAACTGAATCCGCCGTACGGGCTCGCGGCTCAAACGGGTATAAAAAAACCCGGGAATAACGATCCCGCTTGCCAAGACTATGGTTCTAGTGTTGCATTCGGCCTCGCCGGCGAGGCTTCAGGTCAATGAGACGGCGGAAAGATTTTCTTCATGCATTGGCGTGACACACATGCTGTATAGTAGGTAAATAGACTGTTTGGACGTCTTCGCTTGAAACAATAATCCTGGACTTCCCGTCCTATCAACGCCCGCTGAATCGATAAAACATCCTTGAAATGCAACAGATTTGCCGCTCTGAGTGGCACCAGAAATGTCATGGGCCGCGTAGATATATCTCTAATGTGTAAGACCGAATGCCGTCATCAGTGTCGTTATACCAAAGTGCCCCGGTTTCGCCGCCGAGGCAAAAGAAATTGCGAAGCAGTCTGCGGGCGTGAAAACTTTTCGTAAAAATGAGGCAACGTGTGAGTGCCACTCTATGGGACGAATACTAATGTGAAGATAGTGCTAGTGTCGGCTCGACCGGGACGATGTTGCTGAAAGGTCCGGTTCGACAGGTAAAAGCTGCTCGGATAAGCCACAGGGTTCGTTGCTACGGATCTTGAATAATATCCGGCATCCGGCAGCGCTGTACATGGCTCCAGGCCAGTAGTATCAAGTTTTTCGAAA